AAAGTTTGCGAAACATGGGGTTTGGTGAGCTGTTTGTTGTTGAGATATCCCGACTAATTCCGTGTTTCCCTTCGATCGCCAGAAGTGGCAATGTGTTTTTTTTCCCCGTTGAATGTCGATCATTTATCAGTGTTTTTGTCTTGGCGCCATTGTTTTTTTATGCTATAACCGGAACAACTCGGTCACGTGATCTCCCGGAGTCGTCCGATTGACTCCGAAAATGACCGATAGTCGGAGATAAACGTTCATTTGCGTAAATCGGCTTATTTTTTAATGCGACAAAATAAACAGTCAAAATAAACATTCGACATCGCGGCAACTATCATAGTTCAAAGGAAACGAAGTGGTTGTTCTTCCTGGGGTTTATAGTTCCATGGTCCAACGCTACTAGCACCGCCCCTCAACTGTGAATAGTAGATAATATTTGGTAATCGTAGTCCTAAGTAACTATTAAAAATAGCATCTGTGTGCCCCTCGCCTGACGATCTGTTTGGGTGTTTTGACTCCCATTTTCACGGTCTACCAATTTCAAGATATTTGGCTATTTTACTTAAATTTAAGAATTTTTACCGAAAATTTGTGTACGCTCATATTTTAGTAACCACGCCCACTTTTGCAAGATCTCGTCCAAATTGTAACTCGATGTCCAAGAATTAACAGTTAACCAAATTTTGAGTTACGGGAAACATAAACGTTCAACAAAACAAAAAATCAATGTTTCCCCTAAATCAAAGTTTGGTTAAATGTTAACTAAAATTTGAGTTACTAAATGTAGACGTTAAACAACATCAACAATTTATGTTGCTCGTAACTCAAATGTTGGTTAACTGTTAATTGATCAAGTTACAATTTGGGTGTAGTTTCTCGGATATGGGGGTGGTTGATCGTTTTTTGTGACAGCATTTTGTATAAATAGAATGTGCAATTGTAGCCTCGTTCTTGTCACAATCTATTGATATTATGACATTGATTGAATTTATAACTCGCTAGTAACAGTTAAAATATGGTTGTATTTTTTTTAATTTTGTATATTTTATTTAAGTGACAAAAGCTGTGATTTCGATCATTTTTTGTTTAAATATATTTTAATTAATTTTCAGTTTTTTGATTATTTGTTTAGCTTGTAATGATAGAATCAGTTAATTCAGAACTACCGGTATCATGTATATTATCGGAATGCATTTTTGCAAAATTTTACTGAAAAGACTAATTTTTCATTGTCAATATTAATAATAATTAATGCAAATGAGACGTTTATTTTAACCAATCGTGTCATGCAACCACTGCATTCAATACCTATGCTGAATCATATTAAAAAGATTACTAGTACTCGGGAAAAGTTAAACAATTAGGTTTTTTTTTAAGGGATGGGCGCTTAGCCAATCGAACGTGAACCCGAACCCGAAAATACAAATGTCCCAAAAGTAGGGAATGGGCGCATAACCGAGTATGGGCGCTATGGCGGTCTGGTAATAATCATACCGGTACCAACATTAAAAAAAAAAAAAAAAAAAAAAGCTGCAGAATGAGAACTACCCTGGATCATTAATGTATTGTAAGGTTGAGTGCCAATGGAAAATCATTTTGAGCCTGGAATACAAGTGATTGCAGGTATACATGTATATTGACATTGAATTAATATCAACAGGTGGCTGTGACATAAACTAGATCGAGTCAAAATGGATTCTGACAGACAGTCGGGAAATACATCTAGTGTAGGAGAACTTGTTCCATGTGACAACAGAAATGTAGTTGAAAATATTGGTGAGTGTATATTTAATCTTTGATTGATACCTAAACACCACAACAAATTTAGGATGGGATATTTCATATGCAATATTTTGCTCAGTGGTTTGTGTTTAAATTCTACACAAACACAGTATACCAAAAGGTTTTGTGGGCTATGATTTGTTAGCACAACATTCTTGTTATGTATTGTATGGTGGATAATTTTTTTTTTATCTCAAATTTATTTCTTTTTTCTTTTGGCAACTTCAGACAATGTATAAAAATAATACAAAATACTGTATCACTGTATAATAATAGTCCAGTGAAAGTTTAAAAATTTTTAAAAAGTAGAAGATAAATATTTGTATTAAGAACCGCATGATGCTGACCTGTCTGGGTATGTGTAACTCAATTTCAACAACATTCTTTTTACAACTACCCGGTATTGTCTGATTCCGCAGGCAATTATGCAGCAACCAGGAAACTCAAAACTTGTTTGTTATTTTAATAGTTTATTTGTTCATATATTTTATTTTAGAATCCAATAAAGAAAATCAGAACCGAGGTGTACAGGGACCCATAAAGGTTGACGGAAGTAACAATTATATTTTTAATGGTGAGTATTGTTTTTTTTTATATACGATTCCAAATGGCTTGTTCCAGTTTCAGCTCGACAGTGGAGGTGTCATGTCGCCTTGTTTTTCTTATAATGTTCACATTATTTTTCATTTGATTTCATGTTTTTTTTAATTCTTGGCGAGTTACACATACCAAGCATTTGAAAGTTACCACACAATTTGGATGTATGATAGTATTGTGTTCATATTTCAGTTCATAATAGTTCTATAACAGTTACTGGTGATGTTGGTGGCAGATCTAATAACGTTGATGATGATGACAGTATCCCATTGAAAAAAATGAAACTTGAATGTGAGTTGTTCATTGTACATGCATAACTCTTGAACCATACAAACTGTAATGCATATGTATAGATGGCACTAAGTTTTCTGCGTTCAAGTGAATTACCTAATTTGCATAATATTAGTACATTTTTCAGCTTGTTTGAGATTTTCTTGTCACTGTATATATCTCAAAGGAGCCTTTCATTGGATGTTGATGAATTTCATTAATTGTTTCAATGTTCTGCTTACATTTAATTATCAATTCTGTTCAAACATATCTAGCTCCTTATTTGTCCTTTATTGTATTTTTGACTCTTTGCAATCTTTGCACTGATATCTCAAGAACCATATATCGGTTTTTGATGAAACTTGGTGCATATGGATGCTCTGGGGCAATGTGCAGAGTTGATTAAGTTTTCATAAATCCATGCATATTAATGACCCAATTTGCATGATAATTAGCTAATTTCCAGCTGTTCCTTCACTGTTCCACTGATACCTAAAAATACCACTTTATACTAGATTTTGATGAAACTTTGTACATAGTTGCTCTGAACTAATGCTAGGTATTGATTAGTTTTGGGTAAAAATATGCACATATTATTTACCTAATTTTCAGCTTTTGATATTCCAAGTAGTAATCCTTACTTTTCAATGAAACTTTGTACATAGATACTGTTTTGGGATAAATATTTGTTCATATTTTAATCACCTAATCTTGCATAATTAATTTTCAGCTTTTTCTCTAAAATCTCAAGTACTAATCATCACATTTCAATTACATTTTGTACATGGATGCTCTAGGACAATACATTCTTGCCGCCAGAGTTTATTTTCGCTTCGAGACTCAACGAAATAATTTATAAATAATAATTTCTCTCTGTGTAGGCTTGTCGTAAAAGAGGCCGTGGCGTACGGCGATGGGACAATAGAGAAACTTAATTTTGGGTTGAAATCTGTACATAATAATTTGCATAATTAATCAATTTTAAGCTTTCACACCGATATCTAAGGTACTAATTATTCAATTTCAATTGAACTTGGCACATAGATGCTCTAGGACAAACTTGATAAGTTTTGCGTTGAAATCTGTTCATATTAATTCCCTAATTAGCATAAAATTTTGTTGGTTCTAATCACATTTTAATGAAACTTACATAGATGGTCTGTTACATTGCGCAGACCTCATTAGTTTTACTCTAATTTGTTCATTATAATTTCCTGATTTGCATAATTAGTTTTCAGCTTTTCCATCAATATCTTAAGTACAATTAACTGTGAATTAATTTTTAATGTGTCTCCAATACTCTGAGCACACAGGAGTTTCTTAGCTTTCTTCGATTACATGTTATTGGTCTGTGTTCATTTTGTATTTACATCTGGAAGTGCAGTGCTGTCATCAATATGCTTAATGGTGCTTGATAAATCAAACATATTCTTTTGTTTTTCTGTAGCTATAAATCCATTGTCTATAAAAAATGCATTTAAAAAGCGCTACAAGCATCAACTAGTGCAACCCTTTCCTGGGCATCCTCTGTTTAAGCAAGAACTTCAACATATTTTCACTGAAGTTAATGTAAGAAAAGTTGAAAGTGTTTATCCCGAGTTAAAAACAAGGTAATTAAATTTGAAAAGATTGAATAGAAAAGTTGTATAAATAATCACAAAGAAAATATAATCAAAAATACGTTATTTTGGTTCATTTTAGCAATCCCCATTATAAACAATTAAATTTAAAAATTCTTGTATTTCAGTGGTCCACTTCGTAATCTTGAAGAACTTACGGCGACATCTTCAGAAGAAAATGAAGTGATCATTCTTGAAGGCAAGCCTGGCCAGGGGAAAACTACTATTTGTAAATGGCTTCTGATTAAATGGACGGAAGATGAATTACTTAAAGATAAGATTGTTTTATACTTAGATTTACAAAAACAAAAGGGTGGTAGTGTAGAGGATTGCATCTTTTCATTATTAAAAAATTCTGGTGAGTTTGAAGACCAACAGAAACTCATAGAATTTCTTCATTACCACGAAAAAAAACTATTCATTATTGTTGATGGTTTGGATAATTATGATATTCATGGTGAAGACTCTATGTCAATTGCAAAACTTTTTGAAGGTGAAAATTTCAGTGAGTCATCGATATTTGTCACAGTTTGTCCAGGGAGAATGTTGCTGGAACTGATGTCTAAAACTAAAAGAAAGTTCACACGATATTTACATGATGGCATTCATGAAGGGAAGATAGGCGAATATTTAGAAAAGTATACTAACGACAAGCAATCTGCCTTCCTTGATGTATTACATTCTGATTCACTCATTGATTTAGCATGTAATCCTTTGCTTTGTTTGTTGATGTTTAGCATTTGGCGAGATGGTTGCGAAAATTTACTTGAAATACACTCTGGCTTGAATATCTTGCACAAGTTTCTACTCAAAGAACTCGCCTGTTTTGGTGAACATGCTGAGCAGAAACTGCAATGTTTCGGTAAGATTGCATATTCCCTTTTAGAAAAGCACACTCAAAACATTTATGAAAAAATGTTGATCGAAAATGACTTGACTTCACAAGATGCCAAGTCATGTGGTTTTCTTTATCAGGATTCAGAATACATATACAAAGATACAATTTTGTACTTCAGGTTTATTCACCAGCAAATCCAGAATATTTGCGCTGCATATCATTTAGTGGGTTTGCCAAATGATGAGCTTAAAGATTGTTGGTCTTCTCTTGGTGTCGGCCTGCAATCCACAGATAATCTAATTGCTATGGCTGAGGCTTGGAAAGGCAACCAACAGAAGATTGTTTCTGTGTTTGCTTCACACCTTGAGAAAATAGTTGGGAGTGGAGCAAACGACAGTGGAATTGACATGAGCATCAGTGTTAGTCCTACTTTGGATCAGAGCAGTGAAGAAACTGATGATCCAAGAACCTTCCCTGCTGAGGGTAAGAGTCCGAGTAGTAAGCTACACGAACCTATGCCATATTTGCCACAAACAAACACCCCTTCTTCACCCTCCTCAAGTTCTGATAGTGTTATTCCCTCCAAGAAACGTCGCTCTTCAAGGAAATCTTGGATACTGGAAACAGACTCAAGTTCCTTATCAGACGATGATAAACATGATGCTGATGATGCAGCTGCTGATGATGATGATGATATGCTTTCAGTCAGAGAATCACCGGACACTGATGATTCTCACAATCTATCCATGGACTCAGAGTCAAGCAGCTCATCTTGCATTGAAGACGAAGTTGAGGAGGCAAATTACTCTAACACTTCCGATATATCATCAGATGGGAGCTCTGATAACGCAACTAATGAGTTAGATAGTAGTTCACAGGAGTTAGACACCCACACATACAGTGCACACAATGATTTGAAAAGCTATATCAATTTGATTCCTAGTTCCGATGTAAAAAACAATCATATCCTAGAACCCTTTCTCGATCTTTTAGGAAAATATTTACCCGATCATTTAGCAGTGTACACTGACCTGTTTCCTTTGACAGATGATGTCCTTAGTGCCTTGTCTCAACTGTTTAAGTTCAAGTCAATGAAAACTAAAACATTTGAGGCTCATATCCTGGAGAGTGTTTACGTGAGTCAACACTCAGTGCAATTCTTAGGAAAGGTCATTGCACTTTTATCTAAGATGGAACATCTGATTGTACATTGGAATATTAATCTTGAATTCATTGATAGTTTCTTAGCATATGCTCTGAAAGCCAAGCAAGTGAAGTCTCTGACTCTTTACCTTGATTCTGGCTCATTGAAGGATAGTTTTTCCAAAGATTCTTTTCAAAATGCCTCAAAGTTGGAAATAGTCAAAATTAAACCAAAACGTATTCACAACATATCTTGTCTCATTGACGCAATTTGTTCAGAATCAAGTGTTTCCTCACTCGAGTTAAATAGCAAATACATAGGTAGTATTGCTCTTAACGACATCATCGTAGAAGTGCTTCCCCAATCTAATGTGTCAAGACTCACTTTGACACATTTAAACGAAGGTCATGCTGCCAGTCTGACAAAACGCCTGCCAGAAGGCAGAATGGAGTTCCTTAAACATAATAAGCATTGTATTCATTCCTATGATAACATCAGAGAGGAAATGGAAGTTGAGTATTTTCTTAACTGCAATGAAAAGGAAAATGCAGAGGCAGTTCACTGCTAAACGGCATCTCAGTACTGATAATTTTGCAATATGCAGAACATTGGGTTCTTTGAACATACTAAATATTGCTTATATATATTGCATGCCAGGAACAGAGAAATGAAAATGCATATACAAATTAAGAAAGGCAGTTTGCTGTTAAACAGCAATACAACGTAGTACTGATAATTGTGCAATATAATTGAATTCATATTTTTATTGTTTTTAATAAAATATGGCTAGTATTTGAAATTAAAATTCTTACACATTGATGTGCAATTTTACTAATAATGACAATAGTGATAAGTATGGTTCACCTTAAATTAATTAAATTTAATTACCCTAAATGCTTGTTCACTTTTTAAAATGTGTATTTCACCTTTTCAACAAACATTTTAACTTTAGCAGTTATAATAAAAAAGCAATCCTCTTATTTTTTTCATACTTTTTCTTGGCTAACATTATGTAATTTTCTACAAATTCTTACTTGATTTTTTAAAATAATTATGCATGTTCATTTAAGGAAAGGGAACAAAAATGTATTTTCCCATTCTAAGGATGAAATGCATTGGTGCGACATTCTTTTATTTGTCTTATACATGCCATCTGAGTGTACCATAATTTGTAGTTTTTCCTGAAATGTAGTTGCTACAAAGTAGTGCCTTGTTACTGGCTATTTGACATGCCTGACTAATTTTTTAATTCAAATCCACAAGTATTTTTCATTCAGAAATATATCAGGAATTAGTTGTGCTTATGAATTCAACTATTCGTTATGTCAATTGTTTTTTCTGTGAAATTGGACGATGTGAAACAAGTCCTTTTATGTATCTTGCAATTTAAAATTGTCCATTCTCTTTGCCATGTGTCTCTTTTTGATTTAAGCAATGTAATACTTACAATATCTGTTTGTGTTGTAATTCATAATTTTAAATGAATTGGAAAATCATATTTTATTTTGAGTGAATTTTTTAACGGTGTATCCAAGAAAAGTACATTTTGCATCTAATTTGTATTCATACTAAAACTAATACAATGTATGGTTTACTAAACTATAGTTGTAGTTATTGGAGTGAGAACGTATATGTTGAATCTACACCAG